GGGTGGACAGGGGAAGCAACTGAAAATTAATTTCTTCATTCTGGCTACAATTATGATCCGATCTGATTTAGATTCGGCAATCTGGTAGATATGGGCATTCTCTACGATACTGCGTTTTAAGTTTTATTGTATCTTTAAAAATGTGCCTGCCACAGATTTTCGTCCTTTGTGGGGGCGGAAGGGGGCGGGGCAAATTTTGAAATACACTTGTAGCAGTGTGATATCACATGAGTGTGGAAACAAAATTTGGTTTCTCTAGCTCTTATAGTCTCTGAGATCTAGGCGCTCAACAAGACGGACAGACAGACAGACAGACAGACAGACGGACAGACAGACATGGCTCTATCGACTCGGCTATTGATGCTGATCAAGAATATATATACTTTATGGGGTCGGAAACGTTTCCTTCTCTGCGTTACACACATCCACTTTTACCACAAATCTAATATACCCCTTAACTCTTTTTTGAGTACGGGTATAAAAATGTTACATGTTACATTTTTTTGCTACACTTGTTACATACATATACATACATACATACATATACAATTTATATTAAACATCTAACATGTAGATTATATATGTACCATTTAGATTCTACATCTCCTCCGCTATGGGTTGCTCGCGCACTGAACGAGGCAGAGTGTGCGAGCGAGAAAGAGAATGAGTAGCGCGGTCGTTGGCAGGAGGGGGCTGGGAGCCAACAGAAATTTAATTTCTTCATTCTGGCTATAATTATGATTTGATCTGATTCAGATTTGGCAATCTGGCATTCTCTACGATACTGGTAGATATAGGCATTCTTTACGATACTGTCGATACAAAGAAGCGCAAAGAAGCGCTTCCAGTTCATCTCCAGGATGAATGGAAAAGGTACAGGGAGGAGTTAAAAATATTAAACACCATACAAGTACCACGTCATATTTTCCATGGAGAAATTCCGATATCGTCAGAAATACACACCTTTGTTAACGCATCGGAGAAAGCATTTGGAGCTGCCGTATATATCCGAGCATTACATAAGGATAAACGAGTAACAATTCAACTGCTATGTGCCAAATCACATTTAGCTCCTATAAATGTGTTAACTTTACCTCGTCTGGAACTAAAGGCGGCTGTATTGGGTGCACAATTGACAGCTAAGATAAAGGAAGATTTATCCATTGAGAATGCAACAACCATTTTGTGGTCTGATTCAAGGATCGTTTTGTCACATCCATACGAAACAAATGCGTAGCTACAAAAATAGCGTTCAGACGTGCTTCGTGACGTGCTCCGGCCCATGATCAGAATGTGAGACACCTGCAACAACACGGAACGCCAGCTGATGCGCAACAGATAAATAAAGAGGCTCACTAACCAGGCATTTGATACCAGACCGATACGGAAGAGCCACGGACGTATATCAGCAAATAAAAACACAGGTTGCAAACGCTGAAAACTGGAAATTCTCGTGGAAAGTGGGTAAAAGTGCCTCTTGAGTGAAAATTGACGCGGGAGAAAACACAAGTCAGCAACAAAAACAAAGCCAGAGGTGGGACTGATCAGCTGCTGCAGCAACGTGAGTGGACCAGACACGCAACGCAACTGCACCAAGCGCTGAAAGCTTGTCAAAGCTGTAACATAACACGGATCGGAACCTGCATGCCGTAACGTAAGACAAACTATCCACAGCATACTTTCAGGCAAAATAATAAATTGTAAAAATATAAAAGCTTAACATACAAAAAAGAGTAGAACCACAAAAATGTCACTAAACAGGACTCCTCCAGGTGCAAAGCAGACGCAAATAAGTACCGCACTTCATAATATGCCGCCAGGTACGCCCCTTAATGGAGCAGGACAGCAGGAAAAGCGGAAGAGGAGTGCGCTATCACCCGATATATCACTGGGAGACGTGATGCAGGCCATCAACCAAATGGGCCAACGGTTCGACAAATTGGCAACAAAGGAGGATATAGGGACGTTAAAGTCCCAATTAGACTCAGTGTCCGACCAGATCGAAACTCTTCAAGCGGAAAATGAGACTCTAAAGCGCGATTTCCAGCAATTAACGAGAAGGAACGTGTGAGGCGCTTCTAAAGACGCGACTCTACTTATACTCGTACTCAGTCAGTATTTACATTTTTGAACATATGATTTTTTAGAATTTTAGCATTAAAAAAAAAGTTTTTACATTTTACATTTTTTTGCTACATATGATATCTACATCTACATATACAATGTATATTCTACATCTAACATGTAGATTTTACATGTTCCAATTAGATTCTACATCTCCTCCGCTAGGGGTTGCTCGCTTACTGAACGCGGCAGAGTGTGCGAGCGAGAAGGAAAATGAGTTGCGTTGTCGTCGGTAGAAAGGGGCAGGGAAAGCAACAGAAAATTAATTTCTTCATTCTGGCTAAATTTATGATCCGATCTGATTCAGATTTGGCAATCTGGTAGATACTGCGTTTTTAGTTTTATCGTATCTTTAAAATTGTGCCTGCCACAGATTTTCGTCCGTTGTGGGGGCGGAAGGGGGCGGGACGAAATTTTGAAATACACTTGTAGCAGTGGGATATCACATGGGTCTGGAAACCAAATTTGGTTGCCCTAGCTCTTATAGTCTCTGAGATCTAGGCGCTCAACAAGACAGACAGACGGACAGACGGTCAGACGGACAGACGGACAGACGGACAGACAGACATGGCTCTATCGACTCGGCTATTGATGCTGATCAAGAATATATATACTTTATGGGGTCGGAAACGTTTCCTTCTCTGCGTTACACACATCCACTTTTACCACAAATCTAATATACCCCTTAACTCTTTTTGAGTACGGGTATAAAAAGCGACAGAGAGCAGGACCGAAAGCAGCTTAGCAGACTGGAGCAAAGCAGCAAGGCCCGGAACCTAATTTTCAAAGGCCTAGAGAAGGAAGATGCGACAAAGGAGGGAGTGGAAAAATTGCTACGGGGTAAAATGGCGATCCCGAACGCATCAGTACGAGGAACCCGAGTGCTCTACCAACGAAAAAAATAAGATGGGAGTGCTGGTGGAAAATGGAGAATGCTTCGGCGATAAATGAGGTATTAAAAAATGGGAAAAGCAAGCGGATAGTTCAGTCTATATTGACAGAAACCTTAGCCAAAAGCAGCAAGAAAACAAGCTGGCCCTAATGCAGTTGAAAAAGGAGATGGTTTCCATAAACAACAACCATAAGGCCTTCGTCAAAAATGACCAGATCTGTGTAGAGGGCAAATGGGTGTCCTTTAACAACGCCCACGAGCTCACGTGCAAAGGAAAGCCAGCTAACTCGATTCTAAAGGAACTCTATGGCGCTGCATTGGATGAAACCGACATTACTCACACGCGACTTCTCACCAAAGCCAGGGAATCAAAAAACTAGAACGGCAAATACTCAAAACAGCATACACATTAATATATTGTCATACAACATCGCAGGTTTAGCAAATAAGCTTATCTTTAGTCAATTTTTTAAATTTATAAATACTTATCAAATATTTTTCCTATACGAAACATTTTTCTACCAAAACATGCAGCAGTACGAACCATACTTCCCAAATCATATTCTGTCATGGGAGCCAGCCGTAAGAACGGCAGCTAGAGGAAGAGCAAGAGCCAACTTAGAGACATCCACACAGACTTAGTCGCATCAACCCGACCTCAACTGCAATGGCTGGCAAGGCTATTATAATCAACTACGCGACATGATCCAAAAGTCCACGAGTTCTAGTGTAATGGTCGTGGGTGACTTTAATGCTAGAATAGGAACACATCAGTGCACCCCTGTGAGTAAAGACCACGCAGTAAAATTCGAAATGCTAATTAGGGCAGCAAAGGATCTTAAAGTAGACACCAATGGCAAGAATGTAATAGAGATGTGCGAGGACAACAGTCACGGTCTTTAACGGCAGAACGCAAAGCGACGGGGACGGAAGGTACACCTTCATGAGAGGCCAAGCGGTGTCCACAATAGACTACTGTCTTATCAATGGCATGTGGCATAATCGCATTGAAGATATGCATGTAGTGCCCGAAACTTTCTCGGACCACTTACCGCTAGCGATACAAATCGACCTTCATGCACAACCCAATCCGCACGACAACAAACTGCTCCCGATACTGCAATGGAACGATAAGTACCGCCAGCAGTACAGAGCCCAACTCAAACAGAAAAGCGAACGGCAAGACTGCCAACCCGAAGCACCTAATATTGAGACCCTAACAAACTGGATAAAGATAGCCCACTATACAAGAAAACAGCCATGGTTCGACTCTGAATGCCATCAGGCGAGACAAAGATCAATGACACATTGAAACGGTCACTTCACACAGGCAATGCGGATGAGAAGCGGGAGTACCAAGAAGCCAACACAGCCTTCAAAACAATGTGCAGAAAAAAAAGGACGACCACTATAGGAATATGGAGCTTGAAGTAAACAATATTAAAGATAGCAAGGGTTTCTGGGAGTTTGTCAGGAGGTTGAATGGGATCAACAGGAGCATGCAAATCAGAGTTGAACCGGACAGCTGAGCGGAGAATTTTAAATATTTTCTACTCCTACAGGACAGCCAAGCGATACAGCACTATTTTGCTTTGCCATATACCGTAAATAGAGAGTTTGACCAGGAAATATCGCAGTGGGAAGTCAAGGCAGCAGTGAACAAGAGCAAAAACTGTAAAGCCCCCGGAATCGAGCGGATACCAGCAGAATTCCTAAAAAACGCACCTGACGTCACTGATGCAGCGAACTATAGGGGGATATCCTTCCTTACTTCGACTATGAAGGTGTTCGCATCAATAGTGCTTTCGCGTACTAATGACCGTTATATCTCGCTCACTCCGCCAGGTGGCGCACGCACACTGATCAGGGAAGAGCGAAAGTAAACTCTAGGCCACCCCACCCCACCCAACGATAAGCGTACCGATAGACAAACGAAAGGAATCGATAGCCGCACCGATAGACAAACGAATCGGATCAGCAGCTCTGTAATCAAAATTTATATATTGGCTGACTCCTTATTCGGATTACATGCTATACCCAATAACTCGAATAAAGGATTTGGTCGTGCAACATGCGTGAAGACCAAACCCATTTGCGGCATCGCCTTTACCGGATTTTCCGGCTCGGTTTTCTTCGCCATCTCGCAGTGCAAGTGCAGCACGCGATCGTTGAAACGCTGCTCGATCTTTTTCAGCGTAAATGAAGACTTCGGCTGCATGGTCGCTGCCAAGTCGCGCACAGCTCCGATCGCACTGGCAAATACCTCCAAGCTTTCCACGGGTGGCGGCAGCTGTGCCCAGTACAGATCCTGCACCAGTTCGATGTGTTCGCGAAAGGACTCGCTGCTCTCCCACATTTGTAGCAGACTGGCCCTGAAGCGTTGCACATCCTCCGCCTCGCACTGCAGCAGCTCCACAAATCGGCGCGTCCGCTGCGGCAGCAGCAGCAGACGCTGCTCCACATCCACACGGTCACATTGAGTGTAACACTCTGAGGTCTCGAGCTCGGTCTGCACCGCCTGGACGCAAGTGGATATTGACTCCGTTTGGACAATGGACACGTAGTCCGCCGTGACAGTTGGCGCTGCCTCCAAACTCGCATGCTGCGAACGGAAGGAAAGCATCGATGTATCCGAGTGGACGGTGTGAAGGGAAGACATCGAGTAGAAGCTGTTGCTCGACAGACTCCGCTGCAGCGCACGGCGGCGCACTCGGCCGCGATAGATGCGGCTCCAGATGAACCGTTTGAGCATCTTCCGCTTACGTCGCCTCGAAAAGAGTTGCTGTTTATGCTCCATCTCTGGCTGCTCCATGTCCTCAGGATTCTTGGCTGCGAGTATTTGCTCCAGCTGATTCACGCTGCATGCTATCACCTGGAACTCCTTGTATGTGGGAATATCTGCCTCGCTCTGCCGCTGTTCCTTGGAGGGAAAGGAAAAGAAAAAACTATAAGTCTTATCCACATGTGGCACTCGTCTCCTGTTTACCCACCTCAACGTCGCACAGGACACAGCCCAGTTGCAGGCTTGCGGACTGCAAATCCTTGATCTCCTCTCGTTTGGCCCGCTTGGCCGGACTGTCGTAGAGCTCGTGGGCGAGACTTAAGCCCTCCGGGAAGACTCCAATTTCACACTCCATGCGCTGGCACAGCTCATCCTCCAGGCAGCGGGCACGCTCCTCGGACTCCTTCAATTGCGACTCCATCTGCCGGATCTTGTTCTCTAGCGTACCCACCTTCTCTTTGAGCACCCCATTGGTGACTTCGATGTGCATGAAGCTCTTGCGTACATTTGGCTGCGCAGAGCTTCGGCCTCCTGCTTCAGCGCCTCGTCGGTGCTCGCCTGCAGCTTATTGGCGAAACTGAGGTCAGGCAGGTCTTCAGATGCTTTAGCTGGCTGCGCATAACCTTGACCTTTTCCCGCAGGAAGCTGACCTCCCGCGCGTCACAGCTGTGCCGTGGACTCTCGCCCTGTTTGAGTGTGTCCTCGGGCTTGGCATCGGCATCAGCACACTGTCCGGAGTAGAGGCGGGCACTGGGACTAGCGGTGGATATATCGTTGCCCATTTTGGCCAGAGCCAACAGGCGACAGATCAACAGCAGTGGCAGAGATCGACGCAGTGCCTCCAATTGTCGCTTCGTTCGCTGACGCTCCTGGTGCAGATGCTCCAATTGCGTCTCCGCTGCACCCAAATCCTCTCTCAGTATCAGGCACTCGGCGCGGAAGTCCTTGTACTTGGCCCCCAATGCGTCCTTGCTGAACTCTAGCTCCTCGTTCCGCTGCCGTGTGATCTCCAGTTCCACCTCGTTGCGCTGCAAATGCAACCGCGTGTCGTTCTCCGCCTCCTCGAACTCACACTTGGCCTCCTCTAACAGGGCGTTCTCTCGCGCCTCCTTCTCCCGCAGCACCTCTCTCTTACAATCCGCTGGTGGCTCTGTGTATGCCGCAGACGCTGATCTGCTTTGGTCTGTCGAAAAACGGAATACCAAAAAATGTAATTTAATTTTTTGTGTATCGAGTTCAAGTGCATGTATTAGTAATTTTAAAATAAATATATGGCATATCCCTGGGGCTTGGCTTGGCTGGGACTTGGCAGTTCGAGAACTGACATAGTGGCCCGAGCTTGCTACACACCTGTTCGGCTGACGGCATCATGGCATCTAGATCCAATTTCTGGACACATTGCAGCAACTGTTGCAAGCAGCGTTTGTCCCTGTCCGCCAAGAGTTTTGTGAACTCTAGAACGGATCCACAGCCTAGAAATTTCCTAAGGAGAACGACCTGGCCTTTTGATCTGTTTAAATACGATCTAAGGATCTAAGCGGAAAGGAAGAGCAGTGCGCTTCACTGCACTGGCTCAAGCTTAGCTCAGCTGTTCTAAGTCCAGAGCTTGCACGCACCCACCCTAAACTTGTAAGATACCTATTTCAGGCTGGGATATGCTTCAGCCTGTCCAGGGTCCTCTACAAGAAATTTGTAGATGTATGGGAACTAAAGGCTCGGGGCTGGCCTCGCTATGCCCGAAAGAGCAGTAGGCAAGGTGGGAAGAATGATGACGCGGTAGTTTTTGTGGTTTTTGTGGTTTTTGTTTATTATTAATGCTTTTATTCTTTTTACTTGTTTACAATTTCGAGACCTGCTGGTCTCGCTGGTCGTGTTGTGAGCTGGTGGACTGCTTAGTATAGTGTCTTGCGTTTGTGAATGCCTAGTGCAGTGTCTTGGGTTTGGGCTGATGGACTGCCTAGTACAGCCTCTTGGGTTGGGGCTTATGGACTGCCTGCTTTTTATACCCGTACTCAAAAAAGAGTTAAAGGGTATATTAGATTTGTGGTAAAAGTGGATGTGTGCAACGCAGAGAAGGAAACGTTTCCGACCCCAAAAAGTATATATATTCTTGATCAGCATCAATAGCCGAGTCGATATAGCCATGTCCATCTGTCCGTCCGTCCGTCCGTCTGTCCGCCTGTCCGTCTTTCCGTCTGTCCGTCTTGATGAGCGCCTAGATCTGAGAGACTATAAAAGCTAGAGAAACCAAATTTGGTTTCCAGACTCATGTGATATCACACTGCTACAAGTGTATTTCAAAATTTCGCCCCGCCCCCTTCCGCCCCCACAAAGGACGAAAATCTGTGGCAGGCACATTTTTAAAGATACGATAAAACTAAAATCGCAGTATCGTAGAGAATGCCCTTATCATACCAGATTGCCGAATCTGAACTAGATCGGATCATAATTATAGCCAGAATGAAGAAATTAATTTTCTGTTGGTTCCCTCTCCTCCTCCAGCGCCTGCTGAACGCTACTGATTCTCTTTCTCGCTCGCACACTCTGCCGCGTTCAGTGCGCGAGCAACCCCTAGCGGAGGAGATGTAGAATATAAATGGTACATGTACAATCTACATGTTAGATGTGGAATATACATTGTAGATGTAGATGTAGATAACAGATGTAGCAAAAAAATGTAAAATGTAAAATTTTTTTTTAATTTTTAAATTCTAAAAAATCATAAGCTCAAAAATGTATATACTGACTGAGTACGGGTATAAGTAGAGTCGCGTCTCCAGAAGCGACTCACACGTTCCTTCTCGTTTTTTTGTCTGGACGTTGTTACGCGCGGAACCCAGGCAGAAACGCAGCCCTCCTCCCGCCCAACCGACCGAGGGGCGCTGCCGCATGACGCGCGACGCGTGTTACCGAACCGATCGCAAGCATGCAGGAAAGATAGGTGTTAGACTAAAATTCGAGGAAAATTAGAGCTAAACACAACTCAAAGAGCTAAACATGCAAAGATAGCTAAAAAATATAACTAATTACGGGAAAGGTATGTTAGTATTAGTGATTTAAGAAGAGGAAGGGAATTAGTAGTTGATATTATGTGGTAAGGGGGAATTGAAGTCCGAGCAAAGGACCCTAAATGGTTCGTGCAAGGAATAATTCGATCTACAAAGCGGAAGGAACAAAGGAATGAAGTTTCTAGTAGATCTAATAGGAATCGTAAAGTTTATGCGGCTCAACATGTCAGGGCTATCTACGTCACCCTTGATCAGGTTGTGCATAAAAATCACACCAAGCATTTTTCTACGACTATGGTTGGAAGGTTTATTAAAAGCAATCTACGAGGATAAGATGGCAGTCTCACACCTGCATCCCAGTTAAGGCCACGCAGAGCAAAAAGTAAAAAGTTTTTCTGGACTGATTCTATACGGTCCTGGTGTACTTTGTACTGGGGGCACCATACACAAGAGCCGTACTCTAAAATCGGACGAACAAGCGAGATGTAGAGAGTCTTCGTTATATAGGGGTCGTCAAATTCCTTTGACCACCTCTTTATAAACCCAAGCACACCAATGGCCTTATTTACCATGGTAGAAATGTGTTCAGAAAACTTCAACTTTGGGTCTAATTTAACACCAAGATCATCAACCAAGGTAATTCTCTCAAGAGAACCACCGCAGAGGCTATAAGGAGCCAAAACGGGGCTGAAGCGATGAAATATCATTACTTTGCATTTCGAGGCATTTAGGTGTAACATATTTGCACAATACCATGATTGAAAGTTATTGAGATTGCAAGCGAGAGTGAAATGAAATGTCCTTATACTGGACACAAAGTTTAACATCGTCCGCATACATGAGTACTCGAGAGTTTGTTAATACTGAAGGCAGATCATTAATAAAGAGTGTGAATAGTAGGGGGCCTAGATGGCTGCCCTGTGGTACTTAACAGGTGAAGAGAAGGAGTTTTTGAAGAGGACTCTTTGAGACCTAGAACGAAGGTAGCTAGAAATCCATCTCAAAAGATTAAGCGGAAACCCTAAAAGGTCAAGTTTTTGTGCTAAAAGAGAATGGTTTACAGAATCGAATGCTTTACTAAAATCAGTGTAAATGACATCCGTCTGCAAGTTACCTTGAAAGCCTTTAATGATAAAAGAGGTAAACTCTAATAAATTTTTGGTGTTGATCGTCGCCTATAAATCCGTGCTGGGACGGAGATATAAGTGATTTGCAGAGATGTTGCAAATGCGGAGTTAAAATTTTTTCAAACATTTTAGGAATAGCGGATAACTTAGATATACCTCTATAATTATTTGCATCAGACTTACTACCTTTCTTATGGAGCGGAATAATAAAAGATTCCTTCCAGATGGGGGGGAAGCATGAAGAGTTAATGGATGGGTGAATAGTTTAAGCAAGGGTCCACACAGAGCGTCGGCACAGTACCTAAGTACACAGCCGGGAACTCCGTCGGGACCTGGTGAAAACACCGGCTTAGCTAGTCGAAGATCATGAAGCAGTGAGCTTTCATTTAACAAGGGGCTGAAGATGCCATTCGACCTTGGTAAACTGTATGGATACGGCTGACCAGAGAAGCTTTCATGAGAATAGGTTGTTTGGAAAAATTTGGCAAAAAGATCGGCAATTGCCTGATCATTGTTTGCTGACATATTGAGAAAAGATAACGAGGATGGATGTGCGGACGTTCTACGCTTACTATTTACAAAGCTGTAAAACTGTTAATGGGCCTGTGAAAATCGTATCCTGCATTGAGATAGGTAGTTTTTATAACATTGAGCGTTAAGAACGGAGAAATTTGACCGAGCTATTACATAGTGAGAAAGAGAAGAGGGAGAACCAACTTCTCGAAATTTTTTATAAAGTCTTGATTTTAAATTTTTTAGACTGGATAACTCTTTGGTAAACCAAGGAGGCTTTCCAGATCTAACCGGACAAGAAAGTGGGACAAACAAGAATAAAAAATGTGTCAAGTACATTGTAAAAAATGTTTGTGCCTTTCATAACGCCAGTGCACAAATACAGAGCGGACCAATCAAAATCCCTAATAAGGTTATTCAGCTTCGTAAGCTCGGCTTTACGAAAGCAGCGGACACGTTAAGATAGCCTACCCATTCGATCCAATACAGTAGGACCAATATCGACTGACACTTCGAATGTAGGATGGTAGGAGTCTTCAGGTATACTGAGCAGAAGGGCTCGGGCTAACAACGCTATGGTCGGATCCGAGACAAGCACAGATCAAGCAATTGACCCAAGAAATTTTTCACATGGTTGACTTGAGACAGGGATAGGTCTAGCAAGCCGTCGATAAAGTCATGTCGTGACATGGGCACAAGTTTATTAGACTAGTTTACCGAAGACCAAACAGTACCTGGAAAATTAAAATCAGCAAGAACTATCATATGGACTTTATCTGATAGCGAGAAAAGAAACAGTTTTTAAAGCGGACAGGTGATGCTCGTATATTAAGATATCCGAGGAAGGTGGAATATACGAGCAAGTAATGAAAATGGAAAAGCCTGGGAGAATCAGTTTTACGCACAGGAATTCCAGGTCTTGTTGAACCTGGACCATGAAATGTTCCGACGTGAAGTTTGAGTCCACTTCAATAAGGACCCCACCTCCACGTCGAGACAAACGGTCATTTCTAAAAATTGTGTACCGACCTGCCAAAACTTCGGAACTAAGGATGTCCGGCTTTAACCAGGTCTCGGTGAACACAATAACGTGGGATGAGAATGCGAGACTCTTAAGGAAAAGAGTGCTGAGCTTACTACGCAAGCCTCTAGCATTCTGGTAGGAACTGCAAGAGAGGAAGTTAGTTTTTTGGATGGGTGGAAGATGAGGATGGAGATAGAGCACTGGTCTGAATGCTAGGAAGAGTAATGGGGGCCTATTCTTTTTCTTAGCGTTAAACTCTTTAACCACCAAATGCTCTGACCAAAACTTGGCGGAACAAATGGTTTCAAATTGAGTTGGGGAGACGCTTATATTGAAGGAAGAAAAGTTAAATTTTTCCACCTTTAAGCCAACGGCTTTTATTTTGCTTTTTATAAAAGCGGCCACATCATTGGATGTGAGGTCAGGGGCTAGCCGCGAGACAAAAAATTGTCGCTTTGGTGGGACTCCCACCAGTGGTTTTGGCACCACAGGCCAGTACCTGTGTTGGCAGTATCCGGTGGTCCTGGACATCTATTAGCTGGTGGGAGCGAAACTGAGG